AACAGATGACTTCCAACCCTGTATACTGCTGAGAATCAAGTATGGAAGGCAAATTGAAGTACAAAGATTTATGTATCTTGAAGAATAGAAGTGAATAATGAAAGTCACGAACAAAAGATCAAAACGAGTTAGCCCAGAACTGGCTGGAGTGAGAGTCTGCAGCTGAGATATGTTTGTGAATCTGTTAATTTGTTTTGTCTAGTTCAGCCAATTCCAATTCAAGCTCGCGATCCAATTCGTCATTTAGAGGTTCGTCCGAAGAGACCAGAACCAACTCGTCCACTTCGCGAGCGATTTCAGCATCTAGCAGTTCATCAACACCTGTGAGGAACCGACAAACAGAGACAGGGAGGGAAAAAACAAGTGAGCAAAGACTGAAACAAAAAAAAACAATCACAACGAACAGAATAGTTAGGGAAACCAATTGAACGGTAGTTTAGGTGACCAATTCTCGGTTCCGCGCTAAAAACCTGGTTTTTCACGGTCGTAAGTTTAGAAGTGCAGTATCTAATCTTTTTGACAGTCTGACTCATCTATCAATGGACGGATACGACTATCTATCTCAGTGTGTCACCATCATACATAGTAGCAAACCTGGTCATTGCACCATGTGAGTTTTGTTGATCTCGTTTGGCACAGATTCCGGTGACAAGAGAAGCGAAGAGAATGCACATTGACATTCACGTGGTGATCTTAAGAACAAACTGTCCGCAAAATCGAGGATAGGTGCGTCCGAAAATTCATTCAATAGTCTACCCGTCCACCATACGTGATGAACTAAGGTGCTCGAGCTTCTGTTTCCGATTAGATTACACTCAACACTATATTAATTCGATTGAAATCCACTACCCAATCGGTTTGAATTCAGAATAACCCAGTTAGACTATCGCTAAAACGAACCATTTACGGTGAAGATCTTTTCCGTTGCTCGTATTTGGTCTGCGAACAATGGTAACGGTAACACCGACAAAGACACGCTTTCATTAAGGATGAATGAATTGTGAACGGAAAGATCACGAACGGCCCAGGCACTACGAAAGACAAGGGACACAGTTAGGATGTCAATGCAGTGCACCAATGTCTAATCGGTTCGTGCGCTCACATTCACAGACAGTAGGTCAAAAGAGGACGAGGTGTGAAGAAAGGTACAGAGCGATTAGGTAGGATAGGTGTCTCCAGTCTTCCAGGTTTGGGTCTAAAAGACTCTACAACCGGTTGGTTGGAAGGATATGGCAACTAACCGACAGCAGGTGTTCTTGTTGTCAATTATTATCAGGGCAGAATGTTTGAATCCGTATGTGTGCACAGCTAGATTGTGTACTGTGTTGACCATAGAGATTCACTTTCTCCGCCTCCCTCCAATCCGGTCGAATCCCTCTCCATCTTGTACTTTATCACTTGATTTGTATACATTGTGAGCTTGACAGTGGTCAGTGAAGTTAGCTCCACTGTATCTCGCATTACGACGATGATGATCAGAATTAGGAAACTAACTAAAACGAAGCTCGTAGAGACACGGAAACAGGGCATTTCACGGATTTCCTGGATCACTGTTCTGTGATCCAAAATCAACATGAGTACAGTTCCCAAATTCAGCGGTTATTGTTCTTAGCGAAACAGGTTTTCTTACTACACACATTAGTGTGATGAATAGTAGACGGGGAAAAAATCCACAGTTGCAAGGACTGGTTGTTCAGTGATGTAAATCGGTAACCTAAGCACCGGGACTTGGAGTGGCGAATCACATAAGGTCTCGCTAGGTTAGGTGTGGTATTGAACCAGACGACAACAAAGATGTCTACCACCAAAGCTGGGTGGCTGGGCTCGAACCTCACACCAAAGGGTTCAAAGCACGTCGGTGACAAAGGCCGAACCACTGTGTCACTGTGCGTCGAATCATTTTGGTTCATGGTTGCTTTTTGTATTTTCCCTGTCCTGCAAGTTGTTTGGAAGCCCCCCCCTCCACGGAGAACCTACTGTGAGAAGTGTATCCTACCGGTGTGTTGAGAGCGTCAGTGAGTGATCAGAGATTGTGCGACCTTTTTGTGAAGACGCTAATTGTATAAGAACTCGGACTGCGTTGTCCGGAATCAATCTGCTAGTGTATTTTGATTGGATTCGGAACTGCGGTCGGTCCTGTATACTACAGTAACTTTATGAGTAAGTGTGATGTAAGACAAGTATTCAAACTTTTAACGTTTTAAGTGCGACAGCGGTGGGAGCTGAATATTAGTGATTTGGGAGGGATTGTCGACCAGTCGGATGGCTTTAGGTGGAACACGATGAAGAACGAAACACTAAGCGTCATCAGAAATTGGTACGAACGATTGTTTGCCAGATTGAAATGCTTCGTTCAAATTGTGAAACGTTCAGTGGCCTCGGTGAAATTCAAACCCACGGATGGACGCCGCCTATAATTAGAGTAAGCGGCCTCCGTGCGTGGGTTTGAGCCCCACTGAGCCTAAAAAACTTTTCACAATTTGACCAAAATACTGGTAGGAGCCATCGTCATTAGTAGGAGTTTTGCCACGGAAACATTACCACTCCATCGCGATTAGCGAATATCTCATTGTATTTCACAGGTAAATACTAAAGTGAATGAACTGTTAATACGTTAGGTGGTGATTCGACCCATTCCAACTTCATCAATTACAAATTACATCAACGAATTGGGTAAACCTACTTTAGCCTTTCACTTTTATCTATATTTATGAAAATGCGACTGGGTCAATTATGTTCCTTTCGTGATAAACACTTAAATCTGGTGAAGAAGACAAAAGAGAACTACAGATAGAAGCATGAAACTGTTTATTGATTTGAAATGTGCAACTGAACTGCATAAAGCTCGTTCATGACTGCAAAGCGACGCCTTCCTTAACGCACACTATTGTGTGTGGTGAACATTAAACAAACGATGAACCCCATGGCTAAGAGGACGACCCACTGTTCTCTTACGGTAACCAGCAAACCTCAGCCCCGAGACTTGGAGTGACGCGCCACGCACGATCTCCAATAGGATAGACGGTACTGAGCCCGAGGACGGATAGTGACAAGGGGTTCGGACTGCTCATCCATTAGCAAACGGAAAAACAAACTGTCCAACGAAAAAGAAACAACTTACTCTGAACCATATTTTGTTTCTCTTTTCCTTCGGGGTTTTCTCGCACGTCAGTAGTCGTCTCCGATGGGGTCGTTTTCACCGGTTCAGATGAAGGCTTCTTGCCTTTGCTTCTTCTTTTGGGTGTTCTCGATTCACTTTTGGGCGGGACAGACTCGGGTGGTTGGTCTGTCTCGTTCGGGACGTTCTCGTAGTCTGAAATGAGTGCAATGAGCGTGTTTCATACAAAACAGTATAATTTGTAAAGGAAACACGTAAGCACGACGAAATCGGTTGAGACAATGAACAAACGGGTTCAAAGCAAAGTCAAAGGATTTATAAACGCAAACTGTGAATCCGCCGTTCAACACGGGATGTGTTTAATGCATAGATCTATTGATCTGATGTGAAGAAAATCGTACGATTTGGAATTAGGCCAATTCTCACGACAATCAGTTGAACCCATCAACAACTATACGGGTGTGTGTTCATCGAATGATCATCGAGGTGAGTTGTAAAAAAGACGCAAGTTCATACGGGCGTTTGCTCGGGTCGGTTCAGCCACGCGCACGAGCACATCATGGGTGAATCGATCGATCGATCCATTGGGTAACGGCAGTAGTAGTGGTGGTGATAGAAATCCGAACAACTAGTTCGCGCAGTTGCAAATCGCGTGCGCGCACACAAACCACGTGGTAAGTCCGTTTTCGCCTATTCGCCGAGGTGAGCATTTGGTATGCAATCGTTTCATCGCTATCATCATTATCAGGGTGGTGCTCTGCTTGTGTTCGTTTGCTTCTACTTAGCTAATTTGATCCATTATTCCCATAAAGTCAATGCGTGCATGCATACATACGGCTAAAAGGAAACGGACAAATGCAAAAAAATTGTAACTTGATTTTGCGTTTACATTTGTTCACTCGCAAACGAATTGGTAATTGAGCGGTGCATTCAACTTCGATCGCGACCGACCCCGGCAGTTTCCTAATTACATTTTGATCATGATCATTGTTCGAACAGCGACGGTAATTTCGTAAACTGTAGTCGTGGTGGTTCTATCTCTAAACCCATATTAGTGTGATGAACAGTAGACGGGGAAAGCCCCAAAGTCACAAGGACAGGCTGTTTAGTGATGGAAACCGGTAACCCAAGTCCCAGGATTTGGAGTGGAGAACCACATAAGGCCACGCTGGGTTGGGTATGGTATTGAAACACAACGGTAAAGCTGCCTACCAGCAAATTTGGTTGGTTGGTTGGTTGCGGGGCTCGAACCACAGACCATGGGGTCTAAAGCACGCTGATGACAGTGATTTAACCACTGCACCACCACCACCGGGTTTCTGCGGTCAATTGATTCAGAACATAAGATGTGATTACAGGAGCTTGTCACTTAATGCCCAAAGCAGTCGCAGCAGTCCATCCATTTGACTACGAACACTACAAGTGATGAACATTATGTGAGCAGGAGAGCACAATTTGTCATTTTTGATTTTAAAAAATATCGTTGAAATTGTGACAAGTTCAGTAGCCTTGGTGGGATTCGAACCCATGCATGGAGGCGTTGCCTTCGCTTTTGTACAACGCACAATACCAGCTCAGCTACGAGACCTCACCAATAGCACTCCTACCTGATGGATGCCATATTTCTCTGTAAGTTGGATGGATGATCCGAATGTGAAAAGACCAATGCTATCGGTGTGGCCACGTAGCTCAGCTGTGGCGGCGTGCGCTGTACAAAAGCGCATGCGGTGTTCATGAGTGGGTTCGAATCCCACCGAGGATACTGAACTTTCCACAATTGCAACATAATACTTCATTTTTCCAAACAAACATTTGAACAAAAAGCAGCAATTATTCTGGATAATCCAATTTTAGTTTACTTCCGGATTAATCCTCATTTTGTTAATGAACATGAGTATGTACACGACTAGAAGTGCTGAAGTGGATGACATTGGACCAGATCAATACCAATCTCAATACTTCATAAAGTCAACAGCAAAGCAGAATGGTCGATCTGAAGTCATGTGGCTTTTCAAATTCACGTTTAGAAAGGATTACTGGGATAATGACCGCATCCATGGTTCACTTCCCGGAACTGTCCCAGAACTTAGTTACACAGTTTACTTGTTACATTTGAATCGGTCAATGTTATTAAAGAACGAAGCACAATGGACGACCGAATATTATTCCCCATGATGAAGTGGTACACTTGACGAATGGAAGCAACAAATTTTATCTTCCACTAAATCTCACGTCTACAAGCAATGATGAGGATATATTGAAATTAAGATATGATATAATGATACGTATCTTCCGAAGTGATTAATACAATGAGCCAGTTTTCCTGGATACCGTATTACTCCAGAAGATTAAGAGAGTGCACATCAGGCGGACACGAACTGGGCAATATACGAACTTTGAGAGTTTTGCGTCTTACAAGCAGAGGAGAAATGGCAATTTATAGTCTGAAATCACGTTAACGAAAAATATGTTCGGAACTGATTTTAACAGACCAGATAGAAAAATAGAAAAACTTTCTCCTGAACGATGGATCAAAAGGACGCAAAAGAACCACAAAAATTGGAACCTTTTGAAGAAGCCCCATAGAAAAACGCTTTTTATTCGTCTGGCGTTCAAAGTTTACCAGTTATCAGGCCTTGTGAGTGCGTACCGGGAAAACGGCTTTCAATGAAGCCGAATCGTCTGTCCAGCTCACCAAGAATCAACATATCCGAAAAAGGGACAGCTTAGCTGAACAAGCCGAATTTGTGGTCCATTCCATTGCGTTTTTGACAACTTAGATTGACCGCACGACGCGGAGATGGTATCATGAAAATTGACACTCTCCGCCATGTGACTGAAACATGCCACCCAGGGAGAACAGAATGGGGATTTTCGCACTTTTACCTTGTGCCCCCGCAAGGCATCAAAGTTTCACAGGCCGGCGGTTACAACAAATGTTTATTGATTTTCACGAACGCCAGCCGATCATCATCATCATCATCATTGTACAGCGTAATACAGTGAGGGGAACTTCCCTGATCGCTGCCAAACTCATATTGCATACAAGGTAAGTGTTTGTTTGTGTATGCATTAGCGTTTGATGACCGGGTACTGTCAGGGTGTCCAGCCACTAAGCAGAAGAACGACTAGGGTTCTTGTCCAAAGCCTTTAGTTCTGACAAGNGCAGCCGACCCATTTACTTGGAACGATTAGTGCTCATCATTTTACCGACTGAGACGCTAACTCGAGTCGAACCCCTTACCTGGAGGACCAGGAGACTGAACTTCGTCTGAACTCTACCCTTCGACCTTACAGGCATGATTAGATCTGCGGCTTGACAAAAGCGATCCTGTGTAGATCGTTGGATCAGAGAGGTGCACAAGCCATCACACCATGCGAAGGTGCAGTCTCGTCGATTACACGAACAACATGCTAAACTGTGCTTTTATATAGCCGGATCATTTTTGTTCATAATATGACCAACACACACACGGCCCTCCTCCCCACCTTCAGCGGCACACTCATGATCTTTGGTCAAATGAAAATCGACCCTTGAACAGACTGATTTGTCCCGGATAGAAAATAAATTATTGAAACTAACTGTTAACAGTTGGCTGAAGAGCCCAATAAAAGCAAAAACATTTCGCATTATTCGTGAAATTCTAGCGGATAGTAGGCGTGGCTAGTGCCAGTTTCCACGACGACAAAGCAGACCCTCGTAAAAACGGAGCTCTACACCACAATAAGGGTAGGTACTACGAATATTGCCAAAGACAGTGGTGGGAATGCTTTCTATCAGATTCCTGTTTCTCATTTTCAAATAGAGTATATTCTATAGGTTTGAGCGGTGACCAAAAGGCTCTTTATTGCAGACCTGAATGTACAAAAGACTAGTGTGAAAAATGGTACCTTTCCAATTCTGGCTGAAAAATATTTCGGGGAGTGAATGGATGCCACTGTTGATCCGGGAGATAATCGTGCTGGTAGACAAACTAATTTGGTCAGTGCGTGTGACAGAGAAGAACAGACATTGCATGTACGTCGCCCGTTTTGGAAATTTATCGAACGTAATCGATTTGCAGTTTACTGTCCAGAAACTGGGTCATGTGGGCTGTCCTCGGAAAACGTTTGGCACGTGTGAAGATCGCCTACCATTTTCCATCTGCACGGTCGAAATTTGCATCTGTCCAAACTACGATGCTATCGATGTTGAAATCTGACTTTATTTATTCGTTCGTAATGCAGTTTGTTTATCGTGGATTAGCTAAAAATACCTGGCAGCGACCGACACATGAAGATTGGAAACCACGAGCATCTCTTTTGGTAAATCGCATTTAATACGTTCTACTTTTTAGCAAATCTAAACCAACCACATAAGTAAACAGGACGTCCTGAATAGGTAAGGTCTACCCATACCCGTGATGTGGCGTAATTCTCGGCACTTTCTCACCTTGTCATTGACGTACGCACGGCCTGACCATTGGCCAACCCACACATAATACCACATTCAGCCAATGACATTTCAGCATGTGCAACGCACATATGATACTGTGCACTGATTGGACAACTCTTGTGAGGAACGCACATAGATGTCGGCAATTCGACAGGGCGTCATTTGATGTGGAAGCACCTATATATCCATCAGAGAAGAGATTATGTGGTGCTGATGTGCTGAATCAGCCCGGTGCAACTCAGTGCTTTGTTGTAAAGCCACTTTGTATTTGCAGGAAGACTGTTTACAATGATACATTTATGAAACTGATGTGTCTGGGGAAAGATACCACATAAAAACGAATAAGAAGTTGAATGCATTCAATGAGGCGATATTGGCACAGTTTATCGCAGTGAGAGGAAAGCGTAGTGAGTTTTTATGGCTGACAGCATTACTTGTACGAAGCAATCCAGTTAGCGTAAAAAGCGAACTACGATGACTTTAAGGAACTGCATTCGGTCTTGATCACATAGAAGTAGTATATAAACCAACAAAGAAGAGAAGACAAGCTATACCTCATGTGTGTTTTTGTGACTATACTGTTAACAGCACTTCATTAGTGAATCAAAGCGATTATTCTAAACCTTTTGCAGGTTGCTTCTGGCTTTAGGGCTAGCGCGTTTTGAAGGAGAATTAGGCATGCTGGTTGGGACAACTTCACACAATTTAACCGTCGCTTTGTAGTGCGTTTTAAACGCCCGAAGAACCACATCGATAGTTTAGCACAAATTAATACGTGATCGAATTCGAGGAGTTTCAGAACGATGAGCAATCTTGTGCGCGACTCCGCCATTTGTCTAACAGGGATGTAGTTCTTCGGGCGTTTAAAACGCACTACA